TTCACTTTCACGTGGTGTGACGCTCTGCGTATTATCCCGCTCTATGCGTGTATGTGCTCCGCTCAGTCGCTCACGGCCCATGTGAGTGCTCCACGAGTGCTTAAAACGCTGAGATGCTCATCGGAACAGCAAAGTCCACTCAAAAATCGAGCTGACAGGAAACATCTATGTAGTACAGTATTGTTTCTGTTTGCAATAGCCCTACTGTGTTGTAACAAGGTATGGTAAATGGGCAACTCTGGCAACACTGCCCTCTCATTCATTTATCTGCTAACCGTTATGCTCACGTGTCCTCTGATAATAATAGCTTTCTAGGATTAAACATTATTTGGATAATTGGTAAATTAACACCCTAAGCAATTTATTGCATTTGTTGGCCTATCGTTATTTTTGATTTGTGCTATCATTAGTAATTTCTTTATTTGTTCTTATTTTATTATTAACTGCTTAGCTTCCTTGTCATTTTTTATTCAATTCAAAGTTTTAAATCAAGCTATCTCGTGCTACTGCAACAAAATTACCCAGCTGTAAAATCAAAAATACACTGAGTGAGCAAAACTTTGTTTAATTACCATTATAACTAGCTATCTCACAATGTTTTTATATAAAAGCCTACATTAAAATCTGTCATATAAATTGGTCTTTTCATTAGAAATTAGCCTACTGATTGCCACCATTGATGGACAAAATTTTTTTATAATATAAAAAATATCTGTATGACAGTATATTCTGCAGTTCTTCCCTGCTGTACCGAATATCTATTCTTTTCAAAGTATCATATCGAAGTTAGAAATTCAAATATTGTGACAAAATAAATTTTGTAGGGTGCCACAAATTTGTTAAAATTTCCAAAGGGTGCCGCGACTAAAGAAAGGTTGGGAAATACTGATTTAAACCGATAGAATAGAATAGAAAACAAACTGAAGCATTTAAACTGAGATCTGTAAACTGAAGATTTTCAAAAAACGTGAACATGTAATTCTTATATAATTATCTAAACACCCCCTAGTAGTAGAGTTTGCACACTACACCTGTGGACGATTGTCACATCTGATATCATCAGTACAATGTCTTTCTTCATATTATTTTGCCTGGTGGTTCTATATAGTATTTCTAACTGCAGTTAGACAAGTAAGGGAGGGATGAAGTCGGTATGTGCAGCTCAGAGCAGTTTGGCTGGATGAATTATTCAGAAGTGGAGGGTAGCAGGTCTGGATGTGTATGTGGGACTGCCTGTCCCTCTCTGAGGCTGTGTAGTCTCTATTCTGATCGATGCTGTGCACCTGCTGTCAGCTTTCATAAAAGCTCCCCTGGGTGCCTTTCAATTCCTCATGCTCTCAAAAGATTTACAGCCATAATCAGACGAAAATTTGGTGTGTGTGTGTGCGTGTGTTTTTTTCAGCTACAAACTTAAAAATGCACAGAATGGAAAAACAAATTAATGATTGGTTGTATTTGTTTTAAGCACTTTTTTTGGACAGATTTTTTTATTTCTTGCTGAATTTTAACATTCATTCCAATGAAAAACTAAATTATGTTGTTTTTTGAGGCAAGAAACCTCAACTTTTAACATTTATACAATAAAAATAATATAGATAATCAATAATATATAATATATCTGATTCATTTGGATGGGTGTTTTTGAGTCTGATTATCCAAGACAGATACACTCACTCTGTTTTCTCAAACTGTCAGCATCGTCCATCCTCTTAGTGAGGCACTGCCTTTGAGGCATTTGTGCATGTTTGAAGTTCACATACTGGTGTGCAAACATGAACTCCACGCACAGGAGCTGAACCCAACCTTTGCAAAGCCACAGAGGATCTTAAACAAAAGAATGAAGAGAGAGAGAGAGAGAGAGAGAGAAGCAAAATGTCAAAGAAAGCGGTGATCAAAGGGCCATATTTCCCTACTATCATCTGGTGTGTGTGTGTGTGTGTATGCCATTCTTTGAAATCACTGGAGAAAGAGGCCTTGGAATTCCGTCTGCTCTTAACAGGATTTGAGAGCCTTGTCCAGAGCCACAATGTCTTAAATCACAGTCGTAATGTGTTTTCCTCTCTTATTCGATGTTTCAGGTAGCTGTGAAGAATAACATTGACGTGTTCTACTTCAGCTGCCAATATCCCCTCAGCCTGCTCTTTGTAGAGGACGGAAGATTTTGTTGTACATCTTTAGACATGACAATATGGTGCCTGAAAAATCTGTCTAAAACCAGTCTAAAAGTGTCCTTGTTGTGGGGTGCCTTTATACAAAAACATCTGTCTGGCAGCAAGACAACCTTCTATTTCAGATACAGCCAAACATCAATCTTCTTTTTTGTTTTCTACCTTTTTTTCCACTGGTTTCCTCTCTCATGAACTCCTTTTGTCCCTCTGCTTCTCAGATCGTCAGGTGTTCCTGGCCACCTGGAAAGACATTCCAAATGACAGCGAGGCACAGTTCCAAATCAAAGATATCCACCTCAACTCAGGTAACAGGAATAAATATGTGCTGTGCATGAGTGAATTGGGTAAAGTGTGTGGAGGTAGATGGGAATGAATGAAATGAAGATAATGAAACAAATAAGCAAATATAGGATGGAGGAAAGTGCTCTACCCTTATCAGTGCTTTGTATAATATTGACTGTCACACGCTCAATCTTACAAAAGAACACACTGTCCTGTTGAGGTCTGTCTCTGAAGAGCAGTGCTGATCCGGTGGCATGTCTGGGTGTAATTAACTCGAGGCAGGTTTTTAGGGAATGATCCTCTTCTGCATGACTGTTTGTATAAAATAACAGTGAATCACAGTCATGAACATGCACACACACTCTTGGTGATATTGCTAATGAATGCACAGTGGGTGTCTTCAGTACTCTTATTTTGACTCTCCCTCTTCTCTCTATGAGGCTTGGTTTTTAATATGTGTTTGCTGCATTGTTATATATAAATTTCCTGTTCTAAAGCAAAATATTTAATTGTTAGCAAAGATTTGAGCTTGCAATTAAATGAATATGATGAGAAAGAAAGTCAGAGCAACACAAAATAATATATGTGACCCTGGACCACAAAACCAGTCTTAAGTCGCTGGGGTATATTTGTAGCAATAGCCAAAATCGGACATAAGCCTTATGTCCATCCTTTAATTATTTTTATTTTGTTCTTTTGATCTTATTTTTTGTGTGTTCTTAGGTTTTGTTTGGGTATTATTTTTTTTTTAGTTTTGACTCTTATGTGCACAAGAGTGTGAGCACACGTACCAGATCTGTGTCCAAATTAGTGTGTAAGAAAGGATGTTGGTGTTTATGTGGAGATGTGTGTGAGTGTGATAGAGACTGCTTATGCATAAACGGCTTTCCCCAGGAGTCTCTTAAATGGAGTTCAGTCTCTGCAGGATATCACACAGATGCACAGTAGCTGTGTCCGAAAAAATACTGCCTTTGCAGGCAGAATATGCAGGTAGGAAGGCATCAAGGCACTCTCGAATCAGGTTGGGATTAACCATATTTGCATTTGGACACGGCTAAAGTGGGGCAGCATGCAAGGTTGGAAAAATATATCAAGAATAGTCTCGGCCAAATATTGTCCTATCCTAACATCCCATATATAAATGGAAAGCTTATTTATTCAGCTTTCAGATGATGTATAAATCACAATTTCAAAATATTGACCCTTATGACTGGTTTTGTGGTCCAGGGTCCAACTTTATTGTGTGCACTTCATCAGTAAGATTTTTTTGAAAGAAATTAATACTTTTATTTAGCAAGTGATTAATTTGATTTAAAAAAAAGTGGCAGTGAAGACATTTATAATATTACAAAAAAATATGTTTCATATAAATGCTGTTTTGAACTTTCCATTCATAAAAGAATCCTGAAAAAAAGTATTTGATCAAATGCTGCCTTGGTGAACATAAAAGACTACTTTAAAAAACATTTAATAATTTACCAAACACAAACTTTTGAGTGGTAGTCAACTAGTCAAATTTGATTCACAAAATAATGTTGTGAGATGGTTCTTTTCAGTGAATTGGTGAATCCATGTATCCACGTTTAAATTAGTGGATATCAAATTAACATCTCATTCACTTTCCGAAGTGCAGATCAATACTTTCATTCTATGAAAAAATAGGCAACTTAGACATTCCACCTAAGATCTTTGTTTCATGGAAGAATGAAAATAGAAGAATTTAAATAACATGAAGTTGAAAATTTGTTGTTTTTTTAAGCAAACTTTTCTTTTAAATCAGACTGATTACTGAATGATTCATATGTCAATGTGTAAGTAAAAAATATGCATTTGCAAGTTGCCATAGAGACTCACTCAGGTTCAGTTTGTCTTCAGAAAACCTGCTATGTGTGTCTGAGTTTTGTTAATGAGTAACTTCTCTCTTACAGACGTGGCCAGCAACAAGCTGCAAGGCAGTAATATCTTCACCATAGCCAAGAGAACAGTGGAGGGGCAGGACATGCTGTACCAGTCTATCAAACTCACCAACGGCATTTGGGTGCTGGCAGAAATGCGCATACAGACCGGCAACCCCAACTACACGGTAAATGGAAACAAAGAGACATGAAGGATGTTGTAGTGGCTTTTACAGGGATGCGAAGAGACTAGCAAAGTACCACTCGAACACACATACACACATAGATCGATAAAGACAAGTGGATGTGCTGGAGGAGACAGTAGCGGCCGCATGTGAGAGAGTGTGTTTCACAGAACGACTCTCCTGTTATTTCATAATGAGTCATGCGGGAGAAAGATCTGTGTGTGTGTTTGTGTGCATGTGTGAGAGATGAAACCGGTCAAAGGGGAAAGGACTGCTGGGATCAAACACCATCTTAAAACCTACCGAGCTGCATGCCTAGATAGCATTTTATTGGCCTCAGAGTCTAAAACTGCTAGTCAGGCTGCATGCTAGGTTGGAGACATAGCCATTGTGTTCAGAGGGAAAGAGAGTTTGGCAAATCCTGTGTAGGCAAAGATAAGGAAAGAAGATTGTCAAGAAAGATGTCAATCCTCTTGTCAGTCCTTTCTCCCTTTGGTTTGTGGGATTTGCCATTATCAGCCCAAGACGGAGTGTATGTTTCTTCTCCCTCACGTTCCCTTTCACATTTCCCACATGAATCATGCTTCAAACACAATTATAGGGAACCATTTCTTCTCTCAGATCTCAAGTGTACTGTACCTAGAATTGTGTACGCCAGCTTGCTTCATTCCCAATAGCAGAATATGCATCCACCCGAGTCCTAGAGAATTGAATTATTAATGTATTATACAATTATAATTATTTTTCCTCTGACTTAATCAGCATATGCAGCTGTTTTCATCAGAAAATGCCCATTTATTGTGTTATTCCACCATGTTGTGGCACTTTTCATGAATCGTGTACAAATTGCTGTACCATTACTTTTCTTTAAAGCAATAAAGGCACAAATCCCATGTTCTTTGAAGAGGAAACCACTAGATGTTGCATAAACTATTATCTAATATAAAATTAATTGCATCAAATACATCTAGCCCCTACTGAGTGCTTAATTTAGGATAAATCTGCACCATGTGCCCAAGTATCCTCTATCACATCTTATTGTCTATGTGATGAATATGATTTCATATGTGATGTTTGATTTTCCTGTATTTTTTCCTGTGTTTGCTCATCTCTGCACTCACCTTCGATGATGACAACACAATGCAGGAAATGGAGGTTGGGTGTTTTTTTCCCCCCAAAATAATCTTAACTTAAACTAAACATCTTACCTTTTACCTCTTGCTGCCTTTAAATAAACATCATTCTTTCGTTTACTTCCTTCTATCAACAGTAAAACAGTAAAGTCCACCGAAACAAAGCATGTCTGTAATAGTGAAGCATAATAATAAATATCACAACTATGTGACTTCATATAAGAGCAACTTTGAAGGATCAAGCAAACCACAGTATAAGGAAATGTGCGGAAAACTTGGAGTTTTATTTGTAGTCCTTTGTCATAATAGAAAAGCTTGACATTATAGGAAGACACAGAGGTTGTGTGCACAGAATTGTTTTCCAGATTTCAGTCCAGGAAAAATCTAATTGAATAGCCTTCATAAAAGGAGTTGCTCTTCGGCAGAAACCCGTCGATTCACGGCATGTGCTTTTAATGTGCACAAGACTTGCTCTCCTATACACACACCAGTGTTTCCTGCAGTGCTTTTAACCGGAGGCACTCCACCGCTGCTGAATCTATAAATCTGCTGTTAAATCTACACCGCCACCGCAAAATTATATTTTAATTTGAAATGTGAGCTGGCGGTCTGAATTGAATGTGAGGAGATTAGACAGAGTGCTGCAAAATTATAGCAAGAAAACAAATGGTTTTCGTGACTGCATGCAAAAACAAATGTATGACTCGACCAGTGTTGTCCGATTCTCTAGTAAATGACTCACTCCTTTTAAAGGGGTCATATGATGCTATTTTAAAGATCATTATTTTGTGTATTTGGTGTAACAGAATATGTTGACATGCTTTAATGTTCAAAAAACACATTATTTTTCAAATACTGTACATTATTGTAGGTCCTCTATGCCCCGCCTCTCTCAAACATGTCGTTTTCAACAAAGCCCCCCTCCTTTGACAAGCGCAGTCTTCTCTGATTGGCCAGCTGACCCAGTGCATTGTGACTGACTGAAACACACACCGTCTCCCTGACATGGCTGCATCAACACTACTGCGTTCCTGAAACCACGCCTTCATTCTTTGCGTGCACATTTGGGTGGCATTATGCTAATATTTCCACAGTGACGTAGATATGTGGGGGCGTGTTAGAATGAGGCGTTTTAGGTAGGCGTGGCTGACTCTTAACTTTTATAAAGAATATCTCTTTGGATTTGAGACTTTAGTCTTTGCAACTTTACAGATCTTCTTTATGCACCAAGAGCTTGTAACACTCCAAAGAGAAAGGAAAAATTGAAATCGCATCATATGACCCCTTTAATGAATTGTTCAAGACTATTATATAAAATTCCATCAAATCTTTCATTGAATAAACTAAATTTGTCATAAATTGACTTAACACATCTGTATGGGTCTGTTAATCTTCCATCTCTTTCCTCACATCCGAACAGCCACTTTAATAAGAGGCAGAACTGTTATTCCCAGCTCAGACGCACGGTCCATGTATCATGGTTGTTTTGTTCCTGGCTGTTGTTCTAGCATATAAACAGTATCTGTCTGAAAGGACAGAAAAATGTGGCTGTGTGGCTATACTGTGAACTATTGTGATGTTGTTTTTTTCTTTCTAAATATCTAGCAATGTTTCCATTAGCTACAAAGCTCTACAATTTGTCACTGTTCGTCGTCCCTTTAGCAACAAGGCATCCAATGGCACGGCCCAGTTCCCCTTTAAATGCTGCGAGCGTCTGATGGCAGGGATCTGTTAAAGCATTTCTCCACAAACCTTCGTGCAGCACCCCGCTGCTTCCAGTCTTCCTGTCATCCCATCATCTCATCTGTTTTTGATTACATTCTTCCCCATTGTCGCAACCCACTGCTATATCTCTTAAGTCTTAGAGTCACACCATCCATTCTTCCTTAATTCTGTGGTTCATGCTCACCACCCACCTGTGCAGTATCTCTCTCTTTCACTTCATCTCTCGAGTCAAATTATAGAACAATGCAACTGTTAATAAAACGCCTCTGCATACAGGAAACTGATGCCACATTGCAAGTCAGCACCAATGTCATCACGTCTATGTTTGTGCACCCACCACATTCTGCATGAAGCTAAGACAAAACCCTCCAAATCTGATGGAACTAATGAGAGCTTGAAGTGGAGTAGGCCTGCATTTGATTGATAAGGACATGCCCACTCATTCTTGGATGTTCTCATCATATTCATTCAGCTAATTTATCTGTCTAAATCTTACTGGTGACGAGTTGAATGATCTTTAATGAGCACTTTACAGTGTTCCCTAAGCTGTATATTGATTTTTACTTTTATAAATCTATGTTCAGCATATTGCATATTCATTTTAATTAAGTTTTTTATTAATGTTTAACATTTTATAATTTTAATATATACTACCATTCAGTAAGACTCTGGGGTCAGTAATTTTTTTAGTCAAAAAATTCCTGAAAAAAAATCACTGATTCCACAAAAAATATTAAGCAGCTCAACTGTTTTCTTCACTGATAATAAGAAATATTTCTTGAGGTGCAAATAAGCATATTAGAATGATTTCTGAAGGATCATGTGACACTGAAGACTGGAGTAATGACCATCACAGGAATATATTGCATTTTAAAATATATTGAAATAGAAAATCGTTTTTTTTTTTTTTGTGTAAAATTTCATAATATTAATATCACTGTATATTAAAAATATTTCCGACCCCAAACTTTAAAGAAGAATTTAGTTTGTAATAAACTGCAATATACGTAATTTTAATGATTTTATTATATATTGTCATATACCTCTATATAAATCAGTATATGTTAATTGAATCCACCAATATATTCTGATTGACTGTGATTCTATTCTATTATAAAGCATTTTTACCTTGAAACAAACATATTCAAATACTTGTCATTGGAAACGTTCCATCATCTTTAGTGGACACAGTATTAGGAATCTCAAACATCGTGTGTAGACACTAATCTTCCTTTTGACTAGTGGGAGCCTCACAATCGCTGTGGAAAGCTGCAGGGTGATCTCATAGAAGCCCAGAGAGAACTCTTGGGTATGGGAGGGATAAATTGTGCCATTGATCTCTTTCCCTTTCGCACTTACGATGTCGTATTGCACAGTACCCACAGGCTTTCTGATTATTCTCTGTATGATTGGTCCATGAGAAGCCTCAAGTCTGCTGCAGCGCTCACTTGACAAAATAGGAAGCAGGTGTTGCAGTAGATGGAGGTCTCCACTCATGTCAACCTCTCCAAGCACAGTTGCACCTCTGACATTAGTCTGCATTTGTTTGTCTATTACTCTGTTAGTGCCATATGAGATCCTTTTAGGAGGAACAGCTTTTTATGTGGCTCGCAGCAAGTAAACAGCTTGCTTATGAATTTGCTACAGGTGGTTAGTTGAAATTGTTTCTCAATTTCATGAATTTTCAGCAGCCATTACTCATGTCTTCAGTGTCACATGATCCTTTAGAAATCATTCTAATATGCTCATTAGGTGCTCAAGAAACATCAATGTTGTAAACAGTTGTGCTTCTTAATATTTTTGTGGAAACCATTATGCGTTTTTTTAAGGTTTCTTTTAAGTTCAAAAGAACAGCATTTATTTGAAATAGAAATATTTTATAACATTATAAATGTCTTTACTGTCACTTTTCTTACTGACCATAAATGTTTGAACTGTGGTGTACTATATATTTATACTATACATTTTATATATGCTTGGTGCAAGTACCGTTGTGCTTTCAGACTTGAAATTAGTGTAATAACTTTTTCTTCGGCTAATAATAAGGCAAAAATTGGAAGCGTTAGTCATAAAGTCGAAGCTTGTTTTGGTCTTCATGGCAGTGTTTGTAATTTTGTGTTTGTGTGGTTGCTCTTGGCAGAGTGAAGGAGATTTATATTAGTGTGTTGGCAGGCTTTCAGCATTACTAGTGTTTATTAGTTTCTCTCACATTCTGTTTCTTCGCTTTGCAATGTCTCAATTTTCTTAGCATGCCCTCAAATCTTCACTTCTTAACAATTTTGTGAAATTTAAATTGATGTTTGATATTTGCCAGCGTGTCTGTAATTTATTCTAATCTCTCTTTCTCTGTTTCTTTCCGCAGCTGTCAATAAAATGCAGAGCGCCAGAAGTGTGTCAGTTTGTGTACCAGTGCTATGAGTTGGTGCTGAAGAACTGAAGTGGGGGAAACCAACAGGAAACTGCAGTTCCCAGGCGTCGTTTGGGGGGCTGAAACTTGATTGGACCAGTCAGAGAAAGAACCCCCGCTGGCTTGCATTTCCCTCAGACTGTGCTTTCAGCATTGACGGAATCCCAAGGAATTTTTCTTCATTATTTTGTCCATTCCCAACACCCTTCTTTATCCCTCCTGCAATCATTAAAATATTACAGTTACAGTCTCTCTTCGAAAATACAACACACAAAATATAAAGATATCATCTTTATTTCACATATGTGCAGGTGTTCTTCTCAGCAAATTTCATTGCCTTTACTACATGATTGCTACACTGTTTATCCTGAGTGATTTTTTTCCCGCCTCATGGAGGTCAAGCATCATGCGCAGAAGATCTCAAGAGTTTTAGACCAGCCTGTATTCGTCATCCATCCAGTTGTAGGAAGGGTGGGTTTACTACAGTTGAGAGAAACCTTTCAACACTGCTGTTAATTTAGTCTTAATAATCAGACAGTGGATCGCTGGGTTTGTATTCACACAAACAGTTGTGTGAATGCTTGAGGTTCAAATCTTTATTTATAAATTTTTTTCTGTATTATAAAGCTCTCCCCGGTCTTTCCCCAGTAATTTAGGTCTCCCACAATTTCTTTTAAGGGAATGCTTTGTGTTTATCCAGAAGCACTACACAATTGCCGAGTAAACTTTTTTTCTTTTTCTTCAAAATATCTCTGTATTTGCTGATGACTACGTTCGCAGTCATGTTTTGCTATTAAGCTGGGTTTATTTTTAGTTACTACTGTCTTTTGTGTGCAGTGTATCAGCTTTGTGTTTGTGTGTCTGAGTTGAAGATGTAACCTGCTGCATGTTCTCTTCCTCCTGGCAATCTTCCCTGTCCTCACTTATTTCCCCGTTTGTCGATTTACATGCCCACATATTCAGGGGGGTTGTCGATTTAGTGTGTGTGTTTTGTTGCAAGCAAGATAAACTGTTAAATCTGTGAGGGAGACTCGACTCCTAAGATCATCCTGCAGAAAAGTAATACTTTATGGTATGAATATCTTTAAAATCACTCTGAACGCGATGCATCAGATGTCTCCTGCTTTGCAAAACAACTTGTTCATTGAACGTTTCTTCTCTCATTCTTTATGGGTCAGGGAGATGTGGTTAAACTTCTGTGTCCATGTGATGTTTAATTTTCTTTTTAAACCATGTTGACAAGGTGGACAGACCTCTCTCAAGCTTAATGTAAAATACCACCAGACAAACACTGCTGACCTGATACACTTAATGCAGTGTGTGTACACTTAGAAGTTCCCAAATAACAATGATTATTATTTTTCTTTTAATCATAGTTTGTTGATTCTGTATGTGTGTTATATACTGTGGGTTTAGTCATAGGGGTGACTACAAGGAGATGTCCAGTAAAGACATTTGCTTTACTTTTTGTTGGATTCTGTCATGAATGCAGCATCTGTTATAGAAATTAAAAAAGTATATTAGCCATTGATTTAAATTGTAATTATTTCAGCCTGGTTTTAAGTTAAAAAAAAACATTAAAAGTTTTAAACCCTTGGTTTAAATAACATGGACTGTCCAAAAAGTGTTTCAGAAATGTGTAATCCCTCTGTAAAATTTATGCAAATCATTATATTTTAATACTTTGAGTATTGACCACTCTTGACTGCTTCAGTTACAGTCCTAACACCTTGTATATTGTTTTATTCATTCATACTCTTAGGCAATATGACTAATTTAACTAATTTAAACTAGACTTCCAAATATCACCTTTTTGTAGTAAATGTGAAATCCTGTCGGGCACAAGTTTAACCTGCTTCTCATCTAATGACATTTTCTCGAGTGAAACTAATAGGCTACCTTACTGGGGTTGCAAAGGTTTCAGGAAATGCCATTTATTATGGTCTGCAGGCATGCTTCATCCAGTCCTTCGCTAAAACAGGAAGTGAATACTAATAATTGGTTGTGTAGTGTTTTACCAATATTTCTGTTTTGTTTGGTTGTTTTTTCCCTGTTCTGTTTAGAAGCTATGATGGACAGGATCATATCCAATTTTATTCAATACAGTTCGAGTCCTTGCTGAGCTCATGTTTAAGCACAATTTCCTCTTTGTTGTGTTGACTGTCTTGTGATGAAATTACAGGGTAATGTAGAATATTAAAGGTGATGGGGGCCGCATGTGTATCCAACCATATAATTCAGTGGAAGTGCAATCATGCCAAGCCTGAAGCTCAATTTTGAAGCTGATGGCAAGCAGTCTTAAGCAAGGAAGACAGGAGGCTTCCGTTGTAATCTATTGCTCATAGTACTAATGAACTCGGCCTGACCACCAGCATGGCAATTGAAAGCTATTTAGATGTTACAGCATTCATGATTGATGTTTAATGGATATTTTTGTAGAGTTGTGTGCGTACTGACAATCTGAGATATGTCTCCCAGTCCCGATTATTTGTCAGGTTTAAGAATGGCCTGAAGCTGATAGAGGGAGAAAAATCACCATTTTAAATGTGGACTGAGAGGACAAAAACCCAGAGAAATTAATCTTTCTTGTGTAAATCAAATTGGACTAATGGATGAATTTATTCCAGGTTTGTAATCCAAATATCATTAGATTACAGGCCATGCTATTTTGATACCCAGCACTTCTATCATCCAAATGGGCATGGGGAAATTAAAAGCTCTAGAGACAGTGTGACTATGTTCCTGCAGATGACCATTAAATAAGAGCAGATTTTAATCACACGACATTATGTACCTACTCTAATGTGTCTAGATTTATGCATTTTTCTAGCGAACATTAGTGGATTTGTGAGATTTTCAAAAGCGGTTTTTAACCTCTTGGAGGATGGAGCGGCAATTGAAAAATCCGGAGTGGAATAACCGCGTAGTGATTACAGAACGCTTGGAATGGAATGGGAAATCTCTTCAGCTCCGCGCCACTCAAACAAGCAGTTCCAGCCCGGCTTTCAGTTATTTATTTATATACATTTTTTTCGTGTGACGGGTAAGAAATATATGAATTAACTTGACTATGGTAACTTAATTTTTTTCTTTAATCTTTAGTCACTCGATATGTTTTACTTAAACGTTACACGCAGTTTGATAAGAAAATAACAATTGCACAGTTGTACTGAATATCAATACTTTAGCTTGTTTACTAAACAAGCAACACTCATCATTCCTGTTTGAGCTAGATAGTCGAACGTTACCTTACATTTTCACCTTGTATTCCTCCCATAATGCAAGTAATTTCTGCATATGACATACGAGTGACCTTTTAGAGCTGACTACGGCCAGTAAACATTAGCGCAAGCCTAATGCGCGCGCGCAGAGGAGCGGCACACAGGAGGGTGACTGACTGCTTCACATGTAGCTTCAACGACAACGAGAGGTCTGTGCGGAGACAGCCCCCCGACAGTCTTACGGAGCTTAACGATGGACCTTTGCGCAGACTGCATTTGGCTAGCGGTGAGGTGCACGTTGAAGCGAGCACTCTTGCGCTCGCGCAGCACGCACTGCTGAGATGATATGGGAAGGTATGAGAGGTTACGAGGAGAAAGGGTCAATGGTAATCTCGAGATCGAAGAGCACACGTTATCCCGAGAGCTGCCAGATGGATGCTGTTGGAAAATGACAGGTTTCGAGCTCCAGATCTGTGTGTAGGAATACTGTGGGCTGGAGCATTGAGGACTGTTCCCCAATGGAATGCAGAAAAGACAGCGCAACTGCCGCAGTGAATGAAGTTGGTTTGTTGATCCATTCATTAACGGATGATACTATCAGTATACTTCACCAAAAGAGATAACGAGATGTATCAGAAGACAGTAGACCTGTGAACAAACTCTTATTTATTTGAACATCCACGAAGAGCGTTCTCATCGGCAGAGGGAATTTAAACCCCAAAAGGCGCACGGTCACAATTCATATTATTGTTTTGATTTGTTGAGCAGTTTTCCAAGTGCCGTGATCGGTAAGTTAGCGGTTGCCAGCAGTCCTGATCCGCGCGGGATGGTCGAGACGCTGAGCATCGCCGTAATCGGAGCGCCTGGAGTCGGGAAAACTTCTATCATCCGTCAGTTTATTTACAATGACTTCTCCGAGACTTACACCCCCACCCAAACGCGATACGTGTACAGACCCTCGGTCATTCTTAACGGTGTTATGTACGACCTGAAGGTTTTGGATGTCCCGCCAATTTCCTCCTTTCCTTCAAGCCCGAGTCAGGTAACGTTAGGCTACAGTAGAACTGTAAAGCGCTCATGCGTGCATGTTGTTTGTGTAGCAATGCATCAGAGTACAAAAAAAAGCAATATAGGCTACGTTATTTAAAGCACATAAAATGTAGAATAAACACTCTAATGTATATAACAGATAAAAAAAGTTAAATATTGTACTGGAAAAGTAGGCTACATGTATTGTTGAATATATAAAGATTTTAAACATAAGTTATATGGTAATTTTAAACATGTTCACACCCAAAACAAATTCATTTTACAGTATCTACTATCATGGCCGTATGCAGGGTTTGAAAATTAGTGAAGTCTGGGGTGGGGTTAAGAATTGTGCTATAATAACCCTTACAACTACAACTAATTATATACACTAACACTTTAAAAGAGACAGACATGTAGATGTTTGTGAAAGATGTTTTATCTGTTTTGGAGGGATGAACACTGTTAAATTATACCATATTCATTACATCAAAATGTGTTAATAGCCTACTTTACTATAGGTAAGGGTGGATAATTGAATCAGTTGTTTATTATTCATGCAGCAATACATAATGCTGCTATTGTTTTCATTAATAACCATTGCTATGTTGATGATAACTTTGTCTAGTGCTCTTATGAATGTTTTTAGCATGACATTGTGAAAAGTTAACTATACTGAATGAAATAGCATAGACTTCTTCATGGCTAGTGTTTGCATATTTCATTTCATTCTGTAACCTAATTGTTCTACAGAACTGTGTAAAAGTGTTAAATGCTACTGTTCTCGATAGCGTTGATAAAGTTTCTGACAGATAATATTATGATGATTTTTGCGTTTGACTTACGGAATGTCAGCAATAACCTGTCCGTGGGCATTTTTGATTAATGTCAGTTTAAGCACCGGCGAATAAATGTTGCCAGATATAGCTATGAAAACAAACAACCGAAAAATATAAAAAAAAATATATATATAAATTAGAGCCCTGCATTTCAGCCCGGGCCCCGACTTTTTTATGCCCCCTCAGGCCGGGCTTCTGGCCAATTTTCAAGTCATAGTTCAAACGCGGGCCGGGCCTCGGGCCTGTTTTAGGCTTCTCCTTATTTTTTATGTTTTAGACATCCATCAATTAGTGATGAAAGATGTTTTATCTGTTTTGGAGGGATGAACACTGTTAAATTATACCATATTCATTACATCAAAATGTGTTAATAGCCTACTTTACTATAGGTAAGGGTGGATAATTGAATCAGTTGTTTATTATTCATGCAGCAATACATAATGCTGCTATTGTTTTCATTAATAACCATTGCTATGTTGATGATAACTTTGTCTAGTGCTCTTATGAATGTTTTTAGCATGACATTGTGAAAATGTAACTATACTGAATGAAATAGCATAGACTTCTTCATGGCTAGTGTTTGCATATTTCATTTCATTCTGTAACCTAAGTGTTCTACAGAA